ATATTTTATAATTTATTAAAGTCGAATTGGAGAATTCTGGAATTCTAAAATTAAGATGGTATCAGCTTTTTTACATATTGGCATATTCATGCTAAAAACATCAGGTTACTTAATATAATTACATAACTAGTATATAAATGAATAATATCGGAAAAATTTTAAATTATATTCCAAATATATTACAAAATTTCGTTAAATCTGCATAGTGCAATATTGTACATTATATTGTTAAATGAGGAAACAATATAGCGCTAAATTATATAGATTTTTTTTCTTTTTTTAAGAAACAAAATGAAAAATTAGAGATAAAAATACGCGAGATATAGTTATTTCGAGCTGCAAGCATCGCGCTTTGTTCTCATCGATCTCATCGGTCGACAAATTGATAGAAAGGAAAGTTGTTCCAGAATCGATTCATTAGTCTGGTTATCGTAAAGAAGACACGTGCATCGCCCGCGGGTCATCGAACGCAACGAAGAACGTTTGCCGAGAGTATCTTGAGATTTGGTACCGTTACGAGCTACCGAGTGTACGCTGCTCCCCCGCGGCTCTCCGTTTCTCTCTTCGAGAGAAACGCGTGGAATTGCTATTTTTCCACTAATTAAGGCTTGCGCTCTTTCACTTTTTTGCGAATTACGCGATAGATTCTGTGTATCTCTTCCTCTCGATTTATCTGACATCAAAATATATATCTTTATTCAATGTTTCAACTCTTTCATATACTCAAAGAATCCATAAATGAAGACTATTGCTGTCTAAAGATAGCTTGTGCGCATTTCGCATTCACCGGTTAATTAAAAACTTCGAATTATGTGATTTTATCCGTTATGGAACTGTTTCTTGCATCACGGTCTTTAATTGTAATCCAAGTAATTATAATATTTCGTTATAACATTCGTAATGGCTTCGCGTCTTGCGTGTGCGCGTAAACGTTAGCACGATCTACTTTGCGAAATAAACATAAAAGCTTAACAGGCATCTTTTTGCGCTATTTTTCCTTGTAACTGTGTTATTAGAAAACAATACAGACTCCGATATGTTCAGCTAACATTTGCGGTTTTGCGATAAACTGATAGTCGCGGTCGAGTGACGGAGATAATAGCTCGCAGTTGAAAGCAGATATACTGACCGTTTAAACCGTGTCTCTCTTTAAGTATCGATATCTTAACGGACCGTATCTGTAATTTAAACGTGCGCAGTAATCGCACATCATAGTAATTTGCTTTATGCTACGTTGTAACAAGCTGTAACCTAACAATTTATCTATTACATGCTACTTGTGCAGCAATCCTTAAAATAACCTCACGATTATTCAATTGCAGAGGAATCGACTCCAACGTTTATGATATAACACAAAACTTTTTTACCGATCGGAAGCATGAAATAATTGCAAACGAAAGACAGAAACCATCTTCCTTTTACAAAGGAGTTAAAATCATGTTAGAACCTTGAAACTGGTGTAGAGTCTCGTTAGCGCGAATTAACAGGAAGAATAAAGGAGGTTTGAAATTTTTAAAGCTTCAATCGTTGATAATAAAGATAATATGATGAAAAGAAAAATATCTTACGTATTTGTAGAGAAGATCGCACATTTTTTTCTAAGGTATACGTTGCGTGTGGCTCTTACTCCTTTCTACTACGATAAGTAGTCGCAAACGATCACGGAGCAAATCAAAACCGTCGACCGAGTGACACCTGTCCGACCTGGCATCCGAGCGGGTACCTGACTTTCCAGGTATTCGTGAGACGCGGCCGTCGCCATTCACGCGAACAGGAACGAGAATGAGAATGAGTATGAGAATGAGAACTGTAGGTGTAGGATAACGACATCGCTAGAGAGTGAGTGTGTGTGAGAACTACATCGCGTCGTAACCGTTAGCTGGCCGGCTTTACGTCCAGCCGGCTCTCTTCCAAGAGTCTTACAGTTTGTCCGAGGTAGACTTTTGTTAACGGCAATGCTGTACCCTGCTCGACGTATTCCGCATATTACGAATCGCGTCTAGATTCTGGAGAATTCAACACGGCAAAAAACAAGGCGAGTCTGGAGTCCGCAAACAAAAAAAAAAAAAAAAAAAAAAACCAAATACAAGTCTCTCGAGTCGCCTTGTTTCGCGTATTTGGCCGGCGAGTTTATTTGGAAAGGTAATCGCGATTTTGTACTACTTCGTTAATGACCGTCGCCTGAGCACCATTAAAGACGTACTACTTGACACTTAAGTGGAAATGTACGCTCGAAGATTTAAAAGCGGAGATACAGCGATCTTGAGTTTCGGTCCTTAATTACGCTAAATCAATTAAATAATTTTCACTTTGCTTCTGTTTAATGATAGAAATCATGCAAAACTACTTCTGTTATTAGTATTATATAGTTATTATTTTTCCGATATTTATATATTTAGCCAATATTTTATCTTTATATTTTATCTAAAGATCCTTTGCGAATAGATGTGCAATTAAAGCCGATGTAAGACGACAGAAAAACATGAGTAGTATCGCATTAACAGAGTCTTAATTAATGTTTCGTCGATGAAAATCGAAATGTGCAGCTCCCGTGAAAGCGTTTATGGCTCGCGAGATTCTTTGATGATAATTTCACTTGTGCGTTAAGCACCGGTAAGAACGATATTAATCTCTTTCCATCTGCCTTGTTTCACACAATGCGCGACCAGCAGTTCCTCTTCAAAGACCCTGTCAACGTTAACTCATTACCCACATATAGTGTTGAAATCGAATGATAGCACGAAGTGTACAATCGTGTATTTTCACTAGTTGCTACGCGCGAGAGTGTTTTGTAATTATTTTAAGAGCACGAAATTTATTGCACAAAATAAATAAAACGCAATGGGATCTTTAATTTCTATCAATTTGGCATACGCAATAGAACTTGGATCGAAACGACAAAAGATGTTACTTATTTCGAGCTATTTTACACTTATACTATTATTAGAGACTTATAAAAATCGGAAAAAGTTTTTTTTATAAGTCTGTAAGAAAAAAAATAAGCGATGCAAGTGAAAGGAGATCTTAAAGCTGACGGGATCTCATTGAGGAAGTACTTAAAAAAGAGTTTGCCTCGCGTATATATAACGTGTTTAGCGTTCATACGAACGAAACAAATTAATCGCATAAAGTCAGCACGCGGATGTATTGCTATGCGCTTGCTTATATAATCGGATTTTACTTGACGATACCGCGAGTGAAAAAAAAATAAAATGTCAAGCTAGTCTCTTGATGTAAAGTGCATTTCGAAACAATCGTTAAGAGCCTTACATCCCTCGCGAGAAGAGACATACATATGTGTTTTTCTCATAATTGACCTAAGTAATGTAAACGATCAATCAACGTAAACATTTTGAAATCAATCCCACGTGTTTTTTTTTTAAACTTATGGTATTTGTCAAATAGTTCTTTAATTATTTATTACGTTATAATTAGAAGTTGATCTCTAATTATTTTTTTAATAAAAGATAAATTTACAGTGAGCTGATCATTTTAAATCAATTTACGTCGCTTTAAGTTTGATATTAGATTATACAGATTTACTTAGAAGGATTGCTCAAGTGTCTCCTAATCTTTTTTAGCATTGAAAAATATTCAATTATTTGTAAGAAACTGATAAGCATGGTTCTATTCGAACGACTCCATATTCGAAATCATCGAGAAAGCATATAGAACAAAACGAAGGCAATCGAAATAAGGACACGCAACTGGAGATGAGGGGCTGCCTGGCAGCTTCAGAGATGTTTTCGAAACGCGGCCACATCGGGATGGCGAAAAAAGATCGTTCGGGGTCAATAATGCGTCGACGTGATTTTGCCGATATGAATCGTCCGATTCGCGCTATTAGTTTGCGCAAGTCTGACGAATCGCTTTTATAAAAAGTTGGCTATTACAGGAACCGTTGCATATAATTAAGGACGGCTGGAAATCATTTGATTTGATTTTAATGACGGATACTTGGCTCGATTTAGTGTTGATTTTCAATTCGGAATAGCTCTCGTTGTATTATAAATAATTTAAGAGGAAAGGCTTTTGGTAAAAAATTATAAAATGTAATTGTTAAATATTGTAACGAGATCGTTATTTAGCGCATCGAGCTCTATATTTACAATAACAGTATTATCGCACAAGATGTATATATCAGCAAAATGTTTTGTCAAATTAGGCTAAAGAATAATTAGAACAGACTTATCTAACTTACGCTTTCTTACATAAATATCATTTTTAATGGCGTACTTTCTTTGTTAAAAGTTCCCCTGTGAGTATAAAAATAATAATATCGCCCGCCTTTCTATCCATTATTAACATAATTATGAGATACCACAGATATTTTCACTACGTAAAAATTAATAATAGACGACGTACTTAGTATAACTTTCAGCTCTGTGAAAATAGCGTTTTTTGAAAACTTTACTTTGAGGCTTACAATTAGTTGCAGAGACATTTAATAATGAATTAAAAATTTGCAATGTATAATGCTTCTTCCGAAAGTTTTTCTAGAAAAAAATATTGACACTGAACAAAAAATCTCTTATAAAAATCAATTATCAAATATTCTGTCGTATCACAGATTTGTGAAGTGCTAAATATTTTTGTGAAACAAATCTATGATGCAACACTTCAAAAAATGAAAGAAAATATCTTGCGTGATCTTAGAACTCAATTACACGCAATTACGATCACTTGCAATCATATTAACTAACAAAAGCTCATAAATCATTGGCGCAACTGCTATTTCCCCTCGACGTATTCTCCTCGTGTTTCCGCCCGAAATGAGAAAGGCTCTAACAAAGACAGGAACTTCTCGTATAAATGATTATGCCATATCTTGGGGATATTATTTACATTAAAGCGTAATTTATATATTTTTCACATTTATTACATTTTAATAACTCTTTTTATTACTTAACCAAAATATTCTAGTGTCGATATCGATACGCCAATATCGTACGCAGCATCGAAATATTCCGACTTACAATTATATAAAATATCTTACTTACAGAACAAACAGCGGTCCTTCGAGGATGCTGCTCAGTTTCGAAGGTGACCAGCGATCTCCTTCCTTGCTGCCTCTCTTCTGGAAGGCCCCGGACTTACCTAAAGATGGGCTACGAGAGGAAGCTTCGGTGTGCCGATGACGATGATTCGACGACGATAAGAGAAATCGTGGACCAAGAGCTGTGTGATGCTGGATCCGACGAATCGGAAATACGGGGAAGGAATGAACTGGCGGACGGTCGCGATGAGCCGGTATATAGTCGGCCCACATTCCCTAGTGGTACGAGTAACCTAAATTCCTCCCACCCGAACGGGGCATCATCCTCGTCAGGTAGACACGGATCCTCCGCAGGTGGGATAGCCCCACCTGTGTGTCCTCGTCGTCGTCCATGCTACCGTGTACATCGTATTTGTCGTGCAACGTACATTGGTTCACGGTGGTAGTATCACCTCTTCTTCGTCCTCTTCGTCTCTGTCCCCCTCCCAGAACAAGCGAGATCGGCTGGCGGTCACATCACTGTTTCGAAAACTCTTCTTGTCCTGGCGGTATGATCCGCGAGAACGTGATTCGTTGTATCCCGCGATGAGAAAAAAAAAAACCCCCCTCGTTGAATGGGACTGGCAGTCGCCCTGGTTCAAGCAAATGTCAAGTTATTTGGGTAAGTTGTATGTTGACGCAATAACACTTTGTCGATGCAATCGCATCGATAATTGTAATCGTTAAATTTGTAACATTAATTGCGTAATATGTTAAATTGATATATTTGCTTAAACAGAAGCAACCGTCGATTTTGTTTATTAGAAAGTTTCGAGTTTCATTAAACTTTTATCTAAATGGCAGTATTAACATTTTAGAATCTACATATCAGTGTAGTAAACATCTTATAAATTATACATTTTATTATCTCTATTTTTAACACTTCAATTGATTAGGGTTTTTTTCTATTTAAAAGTTATTTTTTTATTTAAATTTTTAACAATTTTCTATGAGTGTTTATAGACTGATGGTCAATATTACATACATGTATATAGTCCAAATATCTTTTAAAACTACAAGGGTCATTAAATCTGATTACACCATAATACGGATCGGTTTCATCAATTAATTTCGATCCTAGTTTCACTAATTATCGATATATGTTGATCTCAAGTTAGACAATACCGTTTATACTTACAAAGATTATTATCTTACAAAATCTTCTTGCACAAAAGACTTTCTCGTTTCTATATCACTTTTCATTTTTTTGCTCATAAAAAGTCTGATTTATTTATATTCATCATATATATTACAAAGTTTATGTGTATTAATAACAAAGTAATTAATAGAACTTACATTTATATAATTCGAAAATAATTTAATTTTTTCTTCAGTGCGGTGAATCTATTCAGTTTCATGATTATTTAAGAAAATATTATTCAAGGAAAATATTTCAATAAATAATAATAATTTCTTTAATGCATAACAGTATATAACGAATCGAAGACTTAAATGCTATTCATTATTCTTTTCTACTAGAGAGATGTGTGCCATCCTATGTATGTTTAATTATACGAGTAGAAAAGGTCTTTCGATAGAAACTGACACACTGCAAAACATAATTAATTGAATACATAGTTCTCAAGAATTACGCTTGGTTACTTTTACATGTGATTATATTTCGTTTAAGTTACGTTACAACATGTTTGATATATAGCCATACCAGCCATAACAGAATTTAAATTAAAAATCTAGGTAAACTTTTATTTAACAGCAAAACCTGATATTCTCTTGTAATATATTGTTAATTTATTATTATAACGAGCCTAATAATCTCACTTATAAAAACTTTTATATTTATATATATTATTTTAATCGATATACAATTATCAGAAAATTAAAAACTGATAATAATTGTAAAAATTTGTTAATTATTTGTCTTCATATATGAGATATATATCTATATACGTTTAAATTTTTTATTTTTTAAACTGAAAAAAAGTAGGAACATAAATTATGAATTTCAAATTTTTTAATACAATTTTATTATTATTTTTAAATAAAATAACTTATTAGTATTTGTCTGAATAAAATATTTTTAAGATAAACAAATTTTTTTCAAAGTTTTAATACTTCTTCAAAGATGTTTTAACTATAATGTTTTAGTAAAATTATATTATTTCTAGACAATATTTTATATGTAGCAAAGTTTCTTAAATCGCGTAGCACTACTAATTTTAATAGCTTGCTTCTCTTGGATAAATATTTATTGCTGAGCTTTCTTGAAATTTTAATCGGAATAATCAACAAAATAAATCCGAATAATAAATAAATTGAATGATAAATTGCAATATCGTCGGTATTGTAAAAATCTAAACATCCTATAATCGATAATAAAGAAAATTTAAGAAATTTAGGAAACTTTATTATCGATTACAGGATGTTTAGATTTTTGCAATAAAAATTAAATTCGCTATTTATTAGTTTTCAATATTTTTTTATATTAACGACTATTATTAACTATACATAAAGAAAAAAATTAAGGTTATTTTTCTTATTACGGCATACTTCTTTCTAAAAATGTATAAAATTATTTCGCGCAGCAAATGCCGAAATAACTCAAATTTCCCACATCGTTAATAATTGATCCAACTATTGCGATAACACGCAACAGATAACATTTGTCATAACATTAAACATCATTTTATTACTTACATATTATGTGACTTTTTCAACGCCGGAAAAGAGATATCTCTACGTAAGAGCAAGCGCTCGAAAGGTCCGCCGGAAAATCGATGACTTACCGCTGCCATTGCGCGCAGCGCTGCATTCGTCGAAGGTATTCCTACGCGTCGTCGCAGCACTCATTTTGGTCCGCGGCGATCATCTAGTGCTGTGATTTTCGCGAAGAAATCATTAAAAAAGAGTCGTCGCAAACTTTTTGTTGCTCTCGTGCTCGCATTTATTACGCTCGTTTGTTGCTGGTAGTTAATTATCGCATACCGCATTGTCAAAAGTGATTTTTCGGATACCGCGAGTGCACTTCCGGTGGTGTTCGCAGCGCCGCAGTGTCGCCAGAGAGCAGAGAGAACGAGGTGCGGTGTTGCGTTGCGTGACTGGGTGCGAGCGATCGTAGCGCGTGTGTGTTTGTTGTGTTGCGAGTAAACGAGTTTAAATTCTTCGTATCCTCCTTTTCGGGAACGTGCACGCGGACACGAACGGAGGAAAAAACGATCGGGAGCGAGCAACTGGAAGAAACGAAGAAAACGAGCGAGAGGAAGAGAGAACGAGAGAGAGAAAGAGAGAGAGAGAGAAAGAAAGAGAGAGAGAGCGAGAAGGAGAGCAAGCCAGGAGTTGTGAAGACCAAACAGTGTCGCCGTCTAAATTTTGCTGGTAGATCATCCGCGCGAGCCAGACAGAGAGAAGACAACATGTCGTCCTACATTCAGGTCGCCGAGGACGAGGGTGAGGAGCCCATTGAGCTGCCCACCGAAGACGATACCACGCTCTTGCTCACCACCTTGTCCGCCCAATTTCCCGGCACTTGTGGCCTCAAGTACCGCAATCCAGAGTCTCGTACGATGCGCGGCGTACGACTGGTCGACGGTCGTCTTCACCCACCCGAGAACGGTTGGGGCAAGGCGATCTACTTCTGCGTGTTCCCCAAAGGTATATTTATAAATTCATACTCTCGTTTGCATTGTATTTATATCGAGGCGGCGCTGCGCGCACTTGCAACATCAATGTACGCGTACAAGCGAGCCGGAACAAATACGGAGATGCATGATACTTTCATAGATTATCGGATAGAAAAGAAAGCAAACTCTCTTTTGCTATATGCTTTCGAAAAGAACTCCTATCCTAGAGCATTCTAATATTACGCATCCGCGATTACTTTCTTGGTCCGAAATTCCGAAGCAGTGGCTTGATCAATGCAGATGTGTTATTTTCATTGAATGAAATCTTATTTCTTAAAAGAATTGTTGTCTCTTTTAATTATATTTATTATTATGTCGAATGAGATGATTGATTATCGCAGAAATCTCCGTATTTGCTAACTTTTATAATATCAAATAGATGGAATCATATTCTCATGGCCCATGAAAATTTATATTAATTGCTAAAATATTAAAGACTATCAAAGTACAATTTAATATATAATGTGCAAGTCAAGAAACTTTGAATTATATATTTCTTTCTCTGATTTCTACTTTCTCTGATATTTCTTCTGTTTCTTTTTTTATTTTTTGTCTGGGAATAATCAGGAGTCGTAAGACATGAGCATCTATTATGTCTTTTCAGAGAACAAACGTAAATCTGATGACAATTTGGAAAATTCCACAGCTAAGACTAAAAGAATGGAAACGAAGTTGCGTTGCACTGACTTGATTGTGCTTGTTTACCATGGAAAACTACCGAACAGAATTTACGCGAGTATTTTGAAACATTTGGTGAAGTTCTAATGGCTCAGGTGAGTCTTGGTATTTGCTGAAATTTGTGGTTGGGATTGAAAAATAATATAAAAGGTTTGGTGCTGTACTAATGTTTGCATTTTGTAAAGTGTACTAATCTATTAAATGATAACATTAAATAATAATAGAGAGAAGAGAGAGTATGTTGTTTTTTTTTTAACTAATGATAATATTCAAATTTTTAATAACTACTTTTAATAAAGAAAAAAATATTTATAACATTGTACGTGTATGTGTACACATATTGATATTAATATTACTTATTCATAAAATAATGAAGAAAATGGGATATGTTTAAACAAATACATTGCATACTTGTGTTATAAAAGATTATATTAAAATTCTATTATAGGTAAAGAAAGATGCGAAATCTGGACAGAGCAAAGGATTTGGCTTTATTAGATTTGGAAGTTATGAATCGCAGTTGAGATGCCTTGCTCAACGTCATATGATAGACGGCAGATGGTGTGACGTCAAGGTTCCTAACAGTAAGGTAAGAACATAATTTATTCGCAGATTCTATAATTTTTCTCGATACTTTTTACTGCTTTCTTAAATATCTAAGAAAATTCTTGAAAGAGTTAAATCGGTAATGGATATTTAAAACATATAGAAAAGTGAATAAATCATTTTAAAAGCAATAGAAAACATTTTGAAAATATTTTACACTTTTGTCACGAATAATAAAAGCGGTGTGATTTTTTTCTATATTTTATATTTAATTATTTATTTGTTATTTTAAAGACATTACTATGGCTATTAGATAACAAAAATTATAGAACACAGTCAATACTACAATATATCAGTTACTGATAGTACATTGCTCTTATAATAACTTCGTAATAACATGTGCTATATCTTTACTATGTAGATAAATATTAAATAATAAAAATTTTCGTGTCCGATGCTGTTAAATACTGATTTGAAACATTTAAATTTTTTATTGTTTTTGAAATGATATATTCAACTAAAGTAAACATATTTTCATTCTGTACATATTTTCAAACTACATGAAAATTGCATCGAAACTTATAATTAAAGGATCGAAATAATTTATCACGTTTATAACGAATATAAAATCATTTTTTATATCAACAAAATTATTCTTTGTTTTTTCAAATTGTGCTAATTAAAATTATCGACATTTATAATTTTGCACATGCTTGTGTTTTCGAAGAATTTTTAATATTATCGATAGCAAGAGAGACATCTTATTTAAAAACAAAGTAGCATATGATGGAATGCACTGTACAATGTAACTCCTTTGAATCGAGTGAATATACAAGACAAATTTGTTTGAATCTAAGTTGCTGTTTGTTTCTACAAATTTATGCAAAAATATGTACGGATATGAGCATATGTTTAACATTGCAAGTAGAAGTGCTGTATGAGAGACAACCAACCAAAATTGATAAGCTTATGATCATGTGTGGATACGGATAATACCTTATCTTATAAACTTCCTGTTTATCTCCATTTATCATAAAACGCTTTAAGCAAATGTCAATATTTTCTCTCACTCCTTGGTAATTTATATTACGTTTATGTACATGGGACGTATTCGCTGTGGTATAAATAGATGAATGTGTGAGAGATTACAAGTGGTGAAATTATACAGAAAGAATGCAAAATGCCTGTATGTATGAATGTATGTTTATACGAGTGTGGTGCGTGAGCCGAGGAGAGAGCGACGTTATGGTGTGTTTGCGTGAATATGTAAATAATAAAGTATGTTTGTGTCTCTAAATAGTATGAGATCTCTTTAGAGGAATGATTAATAGTCCTGTCTGAGATTGGAACGGAAAAGAGAATGATTCGATAAAAACATACTCAACTTACGGCAGACTCCAAGTACCGTCGTGTGTTATCTTTCTCAAGATTTCTTACCAGTGACGAAGCTCTCGCAAATTTTGATCACAATGAGTCAAAAAAGAAAAAAAAAAGCTTCAGACAATCTAATCGTTACTTTGATAAAGGCAAAAAAATTATTGAATTGCGTAGCATTTCGAGTTACGAGCACGCATGGATGAGAACATTATGAAACAGAATGTGTTGCATATTGAAAGATAAATATTTTCGCGTTTTCGAGTGCGTATCTTCCTAGATACATCAAATATTGTAATGAGTATGACTTTGTGTGCTGGAGTATGCAAATGCAGGATTTCATATTCACATATGAAGCATGTCTCAAAAACAACCGTGATTAAATTGTTCGGTATTGAAAATTCGCGCTAGTCCCCGGGAAACGATATACATGGCAAAATAGTACGTCTGTGAGATCCGCGAATGCGTTGTCACGATATCCAAATATAACATTGCAGAGTTCGAGAAGTGCATGAGTCTAATGGAAAGATTTTGTGAAGCGACGCTGAGTATGAGTAGAATGCTTAATCAGGAATGAGACTCGCGAATAGATTCTGCGTTGCGAAATTATTCACGGCCGCGTTTCCACGCGATCGACAGTTTGCCGAAACGGGTTCCCGTCGGTTTTCGAATGCATATAGTTTGGAACACGCATAACCGTGTTGCTGCGATGAGCGGAGCGAATGCGTATGTGTGCTTCAAATATTTCGATCAAGTCTGTATGTGATTGTCGAGGGCTGGTGTAATCTGGTTGCAGAATATTGATGGCTTAATGATGGCGCGTCAGTATGATACGGGTAAGCACGGTAACGAGTGTTACCGACCTATACCGGTGCATACGCCGAATAGTCGCCGAGTGCCGGCGTCGAAGCCGTACGTAGCCAACGTAAACTCGTCGTCGTCCGAGGCCACTGCTCCGCCGCCGAGCGCGCCTCCTCCTCGTTACGACTCGGAGTACGATTACAAAACCACCCACTACCCGTCGTATCCCCCGAACTATCCGTACGACGATAAGTACAAGTATGAAGGTGGTGGTGGCGGCGGCGGCGGCGGTGGCGGCGGCGGCGGCGGCGGCGGCGGCGGCGGTGGCGGTGGTCAACAGCAGCAGTACAACGCTTACAACGAAAAGCCGAGCTACGCCGCCTACGAGGAGTCCGCAGCCTACGATTCGCGTGGCTACATGGCGCCACCTCACGCGACCGCTGCCGCGACGCCTGCCAATCCCGCGTATCCGCCAGCCGACGCCGAATACGGACCGAGGTACTACGGCGAGGGACGCGCGGCCGCTTATCCAGTCGCCGACAATTGTCCGGAACAGTACGCCGACAAGGGAAGGTACGGCAATTACGTGTACGAGCAACGTTGCTATTACGACCAGGCCGACGGCCGTTACGCGGCGACGGACTGCAGATACATGGAAGTGCGTTACCCGGACGCGAGGCATCCCGACAATCGTCATCACTTGCCGGCCGATCCTGGCCGGGAGGCGGATTGCAGATACGTCGACAGCCGCGAGATGGACAGGCGATACGCTGTTGACGGCAGGGAACCGGTGGACGGCAGGTACGCGATGGACAACCGCGAAGTCGACAGCCGTTACGCCGCTGCGCCGGACGGCCGGGACCCCGTCGACGGTAGATACGCCGATCCGGCGAGATACCCGTCGAAAGAGAACTACTACGATCGTTATTACAAGCACCGGCCGTCGAGGGATCACCACGTCGCGGACACGTCAAGATACTGAACTGAAATTATCGTAAATACAGCCAATCATGTTTAAATGGGAATATTGTACTATGTCATATTTTCGCTGTTAAGGGCCGCGACTGATCTTTTCTATCAGGATTTAATACACATTCCTCGACGGATTATACCACGTACTCGTCAATGCTATGTTGCTGTGCACTTTTTGGACTTTGGCAGATTTTTTAGTATCGCAACAATCATAGAAAACGCGTGGAGAATTTATAAATGTCAAAAACGAGATAAAGGTATTCGTATAAAAAATGCATCACATTAATGTGTAAAATATTAATACATACTCTATTCAATACAACAACACATAAAATACAATTGATATTTTTCATATAAAGGTAATCATATTTTGATAATTATGATTTTTTATCACTTTCAATTTGATGAAATTTTCTGACACTATTGATTTATCATTGATAGATCGATTAGTTTAATTATAAATTATTTTAGAGATGTTGAAAACAACAAAATAAATGCGTGGTATAACGTGTTTAAAATGTGTAAATATTTATTCTTTTATAATAGCTGCGAATAGTAGTGACAAATACTTTAAGTTTATTTATTAATGTAATTTTTGTATATTTTTTTATATAATTAAGATATATTCCCATTAATTCATGATGTTTGTTAAAAATAACAGATATGTTGTCTAATGGTAGCAATAATTAGTCTGGAATAAAACTGTTTAGATTTTACCAGATATGTGCTTATTATTCAAATTAAGACAGTGTAATATAGCATGGAATCTACATCGAAAAAGTATAAAGAGAAGGACAGATTGTACAGATTGATGCATGGATTTCAAGTGGTCATAGTGCTTAAGTGTTCGTTATAACATATGAATATGAATTATATGTAAATCGAGCCAAACGATATCCTTTTTTAAATCGATTAAATGAGTATGTGTTTAAGAATTTTCTATAAAACTTGACGTTTAGTGCAGATTAGTTGCAATCGAGGGAACGTTAGAGTCTTATGTTAAACGTGAAAAATTGCACATTAAGCGTAAGCGAAACTTGATTGTCTGTAATACGATTTGCGTTACACTCGATGTAAACTGTGACTGTAATGTACTTATATTACGCCATACTCTCGATGAACGCATATGTCACGCAGCGATTCTACCGCCGCCGATATTGTGAGTAATGTGCACTGCACGCAAGTTTTACTTGGATAACCGTGAATCTGTCGTACATGATTGACTGATTGTGCGTTTGTGCGTAGGAGGGAATGATTCAACAAGTACCCTGCAAGGTATTCGTCGGCCGCTGTACAGAAGACCTTACATCTGATGATCTGCGAGACTATTTCTCCAAATTCGGCGAAGTCACGGACGTGTTCATCCCGAAACCTTTCCGCGCGTTCTCGTTTGTCACTTTTCTAGATCCGGAGGTCGCCCAGTCGCTCTGCGGCGAGGATCACATTATCAAAGGCGTGTCAGTACACGTGTCGAACGCCGCGCCCAAGTCCGAGGGTAACAACAAGAATTTCAACAACCAAGTGAACTCGAACATGAGGGGTGGCAGGGGCGCGCCGGGACCCGTCGATAATAACGTGCAGGGCAATTATCAGGGTAATCGTTACATGGGTCATTCGGGCAACAACATGGGCCCGAACGGTTGGAACAATCCGGGGAATCGCGGCAATCTCGACATGCCGAATCTACAGGCTCTCGGCATAACCGGGCAGAACAACGGCGGCGGCGGTGGCGGCGGTATGTCGAACCCACTGGCCATGGGTGGTCTGAATCTGTCTGCGCTGCCGGTCAATCCAGCACTGGTGGCCGCCGCCTTGAACCAGGCGTCCTGGGGCTTGATCGGCAATCTGCAGAATCAGGGAAACGACCAGGGTTATTCGAATCAGCCGGGCCCGCCGGGCCAGCCGCCCTCCGGTAACAATAG